GGGCTGCCGGGAAGCCCGTACGAAAAGAGATGTCGAGCTTAGAAGCTCTGGCACTGCCGCGGATCAGCGGTATCCAGTCGGTTCGCAAAGCAACCACAAGACATTGAGCCTAAACGTCTTGAACCAAACTGGCTAGGGCCTATTCCTTCTCCTCCTCGTCATCATCATCATCATCATCATCATCATCATCATCATCATCATCATCATCATCATCATCATCATCTCATCATCATCTCATCATCATCATCATCATCATCATCATCATCATCATCATCATCATCATCATCATCGTCATCATCGTCATCGTCATCATCATCATCATCATCATCATCATCATCATCATCATCATCATCATCATCATCATCATCATCATCCCCTTCCTCCTTCGTCGAAACACCCACCCCCGCCACCAACCCGATCCCCCACAAATTGAAAGGTTGGAAAGCAGAGGGGGAGGGGCAAGGACAGAGGAGAAGGAGGAGGGAGCAGGAAGAGGAGTCACAAGGAGGAGGAACGGGAGAAGGAAGGAGGGAGGCTGGGAGGAGGGAGGAGGAGGAGGAGGATCGGCCTGAGCCGCCTGCAGCGGGCGACCCCCCCTGCGGCTCAAGCCAGGTTGACATGCGCGCCAGTCCAACAGAGCAGGCGGCGGGCTGCCGTGGCTCCCGCGACATGGCTCGAGGGCTGGCCAGGGCCCGGCCACGGCGACGGCAGGCGGGCGCCCCTCCGGTGGCCGGGCACCGCGCGGCTCGTGCAGCGCAGGCGGCGGCGGCGTCCTAGGCGCCCGAGATGCTCACGGGCGATGGCGAGGCCGCAGACCGAATCTGCGGGTTGCAGACCCGAGCGGTGGGAGCTCGCGGCCGGGAAAAGCAGCCCGGCCGGCTCACTCGGCTCCGCGGAGGTGCCGCTCCTCGTGCAGAGAGAGCCTCGTGGGCAGCCTGGCCGCGGCCCCGGCGCGGCTGCTGCCCCAGGCCCGGGCTGGGCCGAGGCGGGGCCACCGCGGCTCCGCCTCGGCGCTCCGCGCGGACGCCCCGGCCTCTCCCGAGGGCCGGGTGGCTCTTATAAGCGCTGGCTCGGAGAGCGGGAGCCCCCTGGAGAAGCAGAGCGGCCAGACCGACCTGCTGCTGGGCGGCGCTGTCAGCGGGCTCGGGCGAGGAGGGCGGCTGCCTCGACGGCGACGGCGCGGCCAGGGGGCCCCCCTGGGGGGTGGGCGCCTGGCCCGCCGCACACGGGCGGTCGGGGAGGCGGTCGCGGCAGGGGCCTCGACAACCGCAGCGGAAAGTGAGGACGAGGCATGCTCCCAGGAGCGCACGAGCCGCATGCAGGCTGTCGGGTTAAGGTGGCCGTGGCAAGGGCTCCGACAGCCGCAGCGCACAGCGAGGACGAGGCACGCCTCAAGCGGCGCGCGGGCCCATAGGCGCTCAGCGTCGGAAACGGCGACCGAGGCGAAGAGGCCGACGTCGAGATCCAGAGCGACGCCGACGGCGTGACAGGGGTCCTCCTCCTCCTCCTCCTCCTCCTCCTCCTCCTCCTCCTCCTCCTCCTCCTCCTCCTCCTTCGAAGAGCAGCGGCAGCGCTGGCGCCTGGGGGACGCCCTGGCCAAGCTGCCCGTCCGTTCGCGCGGCGCCCGTGCGCGTTCTCGGACGCCGCGCGCGGGCCGAAGTGAATCTTTTTGTGGCCTGTCGCGCTGGAGATCCTGCTGAAACCCTGAGATCCTGGCCTGTTATTTTTTTGTTTCACAACGGGCGTCTTCACTCCCCGGGACCCTCACAAATCGATCCAGCTCGAGAAATGACGCAGAAAGCTGGGGTCCAGGGCTCCAGTCGTAACGAGTTTCGCGATGTCGCATTGTTGTGCAACGTCGGATTTCAGGGAGTCCTGGACTCTGAGGTCGGACTCGAGCGAGGAGGTGGCTGCCGACAGGGTGCGCAACCAGAGGGCCAGCTGAAGACGAGGGACGAGGTCTTAGACGAGCCCCTGGCCATGGAGGCCAAGGGATCTCGCTGCCCTGCGTGGCTTCGTCCTCGCTTCGACAAGCCAGAGACCTTCTTTGGGCTCGCCCAGGCCTGACCGCCTTGCTCTTTGTTGGCCGCCTCATCGCTCTGCGGTAACGGACGGCTGCAGAGCCAACAGGAGCCAAGAGGGAGAGGGAGGAGGAGGAGGAGGAGGAGGAGGAGGAGGAGCAGGAGGAGCAGGAGGAGGAGAAGGGGAAAAGAGGCAAGGAAGGAAGAAGAGAAGGAGGAGGGAACAAGGAGGAGGAGCAGGAGGAGGAGGAGGAAGAGGAGGGACGAGGAGGGAGAGCAGGAGAAGGAGAAGGAGGGAGGCAGAGGAGGGAGAGAAGGGAGAGGTGGGATGATCACAGGAGGCGCAGCACCAGCGGCAACCGCGGGGAGGGCGGCCCAGCGACCGCGGAGCCTCCGGCTAGCTGCCCGGTTTCCGTCACGCCCGCGTCCTTCGCAGCGTCCTTCGCGGCCTCGTGGCCGTCGCCGCCGACGACGACCACGACGACGACGACGACGATGACGACGACGACGACGACGACGACAACGGCGACGACGTTCGTGACGACGACGACGTCGATGACGACGACGACGACGACGACGACGACGACGACGACGACGACGACGGCGGCGACGACGACGACGACGACGACGACGACGATGGGACGCACAGAGACATACTAATACTATATGTCCTCATTGGAGGCGCGCGTCCAACCCGAACGTATAGTATAACCATCTTGTAGTATATCATTTCCCGAGCGGTGTGCCCAGAAAGCGCCTGCCACGACGCATATACTATAAGATTTCTCGGTGCGCGCGTCGCCCTTGGGGGGGCGACGCACATATAGTATAAGTATGCTGGGGCGACGCCGAGACAACGACGACGACGACGACGACGACGACGACAACGACGACGACGACGACGACGACGACGACGACGACGACGACGACGACGACGACGACGGAGACGACGACGACGACGGCGACGACGACCACGACGCCGACGCCGAAGCCGACGCCGACGCCGACGCTGACGCCGACGCCGACGCTGACGACGACGACGACGACGACGACGACGACGACGACGACGACGACGACGACGAAAACGACGACGACGGCGGCGGCGAAGGCGACGGCGACGACGACGGCGGCGACGACGACGGCAACGACTGCGACGACGGCGACCACGACGACGAGGACAGAGACGAACGGCAGGAAGAAAGAACGGGCGGGGAATGGAGCAGAAGGGCAGGGAAACGGAACTCGGCCTCGTCCGAGACCCTGCGCGCGGGGGCCGGCGCCTCGCTCGGCACCGGCGGTTGCCGCCACGGCGACTGCCTGTGCCTCTGGCTGCAGAAATGCCCTTGCCTTGCGATCGCGGGAAGCAACACGTGTACATCAGCGAAGAAGTCACCATTGGTTTGAGCGTGGACCGCCGACCACGACGCCGCGAGAGGCAGCCTGCGCTGGCAGTGGCCCTGGTGAGCTTCAGTTTTGACATTCAAGCTCACTTTGCTTCTCGGGGGCGCGCAAACATGGATTAGCGATCCATGGATTTGGCGCGCGGCCGCCAAATCCATGGATCGGGCGAGGTGCCCTGCCCAAAATGCGGCTGGTGCCGCCTCGATCGGCGGCTGAAATCCGCGATTTCCCATGGAGACGGGACCCAGCGCTGATCCACGCCCTCATAATCCATGTTTGCGATCGCCTCAACGACGCCGTGATAGAAAGCTTGCGCTGGCAATGGCCCTGGTGAGTTTCACTTTTGACATTCAAGCTTCCTTCGTTTCGGACCTGGTTCGCGCAAGCTTCGCGCTGGCTCTGGTCAGCTAGATGGGCACTTCAGGCCGCAAGATGGCTCCAAGATGGTCCAAGAAGGCCCCACGTGGGGCACAAGAGGGGCCCAAGACGGCCTCCCTCACGAGCGCCCAAAACCGCTCCAAGAGCGGCACAAGAGGGCCCCAAGAGGCCCCTGTCCGGGCCCCGACGACGGAACCCTGTCAGGGAGCCCCCCCCTCTTTCTTCAGCCTGCAAGATGGCTCCAAGACGGCTTCAAGGCTTCCAAGAGGGCCCAAAGAGAGCTCCAAGAGGGCCCAAGAGAGCCTCAGAAGGCCCCAAAGCTTCAAAAATGGCTCCAAGAGGGCCAACGGGCCTTCAAGAGGCCCCCAAGAGACTCCAAGAGGCCCAGAAAAAGCCCTGCAAAAAGCCGCCGAGAGACATCCCGAGGCACCCTCGAATGCATCCAAGAGGCCCTGACCCAGGACCTCGGCCATCATAGAGGGATGGGCAGAAGACCACTTGATATTTGGTACAAGTGAATAAATATGCGAGGCACTGAAGCCAGAAACACTTGTAGAACATGAATCGCATTGCATATGCGCGGGAACGAACGAATGAGCGCACCGTTAAGGCGACAGCCACCTTTCGAAGCATGAACGCACTTCATCCGTGTGACTGCTGCAAGCTTTCAGCTTCATGATCAAAAATGCTGAGGAAGTCTCAAGCGCACTGCCCCGACAGCCCTAGCCCGTCTCGTGGCGCTACGAAGAGGAGTTGCGCATCAAGATAGCTCTATGGTTTTGGGTTCCGCCTACAATTGTGACCAGGAGGAGGGATGTGCGCCGCCAGAGTATGTCCGTATCCACTAGGGTCGTGTCCCAGGGAATCGCGGAGCGGTGGATATGAATATCTGCTCGCCCATGCAGTAGATGTCTGCCCGCCCATGGGTGGGGGGGATCGCCGCGCGGTGGATGATATGGATATGGATCTGCCGCATGGGCGAGACGACATCCAAATCCACCACTCCGCGATTCCCCGAAACACCACTCCGAAGCGGTGGACACGGACAGGTTGTGGCAGTGGAGGATGGTTGAAGAGCAGGGAGGAGGGAGAAAGAAGTGAGGATAGAAGAACAAAAATCTGTACATACATACACCCTGCGAAATGATTAAGAAATCATGGGTTAAGAAATTCATAGTCTCAGAATCTGAATGAAAACCCAGAACGTCTATTCAAATCTTAGGATTTACATTGAAACATTAAGAATAATCGAGACTCTGGCCGAAAACTTAAGTTTTCTTAAGCATCGCCTAAGGTGTACATACATACTTCCTCTGAGGTCCGCGCGGATTTCTTGGATCGGCTCTGGACCCCCTCACTGGCACGCACAGCGCGCCGGAAGCGGCGCTGGATGCGCCGCCAGGGAAGCCCAGCGCGGATCCAAAGAGTCCGAAAAGACACTCGAGAAATGATGCCTATGACGCTTTCGTTTTCCGAGAAAGGGCACGCTAGTGACCCGAATCGACGCTAATCGACGCTAAATCGACTGAGCCCGGCGCCGATCCGAGAAATCCGGACGGACCTCCGCGAGCTAAGACTCCTGCCACTTCTTGTAGATCGAGGGGAAGAACGATGAGAGATGGCGATGGCGATAACGATGACCATGGCGTCATCGTCATCGACGTCGCCGTCGGCATCGTCAGCATCGAAGGGGGGCGGCAGGAGGAGGGGGCCCCACCTCGGGAGCCGCTGGGCCGGCCGCGGGCTTGCCCTTGCCCTTGCCCTTGCCCCTGGCGGAGGGCGCGGCCGCAGCGGCAAGCGAGGGGCGGGGCAAAGCGGGGGGCAGGGGGAGGGAGGAGGAGGGAGGCAGCGAGGACGCGCGGGAGGCAGGGATGGGAGGGAGGGGGAGGGGGGGGGGGAGAGGGGGGAGGGAGGGCCGGTCGGGCACAGCCAGGAGGGGGACGCCTATGCTGTCTGGTCAGGCTGCCGCACGCCCCACGCGCGGGGGCCGTGCGCCTCCCTCCTCTGGAATGGGACGCGGGATGCTCTACCCCCCGGGTATCCCTGGGGAGGGGCTCTGGGCTCCTGTATGGAATCAAAGACGAAAAGCGAACTCGGCCTGGCCCGCCCACGGGGCTCTCCTTACGTGCTTCCGTCGCATCGCCCCGGATCGGTTTTGGCGATTCGCTCCCGCGGCGCCTCGGCCACAGGGAGGGGAGAGGGCGGGGGAGCCGGGTCAAAGAGGAACACCCCAGGCCAACAGCGTTGCGATGATATGATATGATATGATATGATATGATATGATATGATATGATATGATATATGATATATGATATATGATATATGATATATGATATATGATATATGATATGATATGATATGATATGATATGATATGATATGATATGATATGATATGATATGATATGATATGATATGATATGATATGATATGGTATGATATGGTATGGTATGATATGGAATGGTATGGTATGATATGATATGGTATGACATGATATGATATGATATGATACGATATGATATGACATGATATGGTACGATATGATATGATATGACATGGTACTATATGGTATGATATGATATGATATGATATGATATGTTATGATATGGCATGGCATGACATGATATGATATGATATGAAATGGTATGATATATGGCATGGTATAATATGATATGATATGATATGATATGACATGGCATGGCATGACATGACATGACATGACATGGCATGGCATGACATGACATGACATGACATGACATGACATGACATGACATGGGATGGCATGACATGATATAGTATGCTATGATATGATATGATATGATATGATATGATATGGCATGATATGATATGATATGATATGAAATGATATGGTATGATGTGGCATGATATGATATGATATGGCATGACGTGGCATGATATAATATGGTATGATATGATATGACATGGCATGGCATGACATGGCATGATATGTTATGAGATGATATGATATGATATGATATGATAATATACGATATGATATGATATGGTATGCTATGATACAATACGACATGATATGATATGTTATGATATGATATGATATATATATATGTACATGCGTATATGTATACGTATGTATAGATGTGACGATGTGTGTATTCGTATCTATGTAAATATGTAAATATTGTGTATATATGTATTAAAACTACGCGTGCGCTTCGCGCGCGCTTAGGTTCTAGCAAGCCCCAAGCGCCGCAAGCTCAAGAAGACCCCCTCCGTAGGACTGGCTGAAGCCGATCACTAAGTCACAGACTCGGGCCCCAGCGTACGGAGAAGCTGGAACACGTCCCCAGTGCTACCATACGATGCAAAAGGATATTTGGGGCAACGTTGTGCGAAACGATCCGCGGACGGCCACGAGAAGGCGATCAATCCTGTTCCCAGTCAACTTCCCAGACAGCTCTCTGGCAGCGTGATGGTACTTCGGACCCTCCGAGACCCTCGGGCCCGTTATGAAACATGTCCCCGGAAGGAGGACATGATGTGTTGGGGTGTGTTGGTGGGCCTCTTGGGCGTTCCCTGGGGGCCGTTGGGGGCCTTTGGGGGCTTCCTGGGGGCCTCGTGGGGGCCTCATGGGGCTTCTTAGGGGCCTCATGGGGCTTCTTGGGGGCTTCTAGGGCCAGAAGCCTCGAAATATCGGTTCGTGGTCTCCCTCTGGGTCCCCTCTTGGGGCGTTCTTAGGGCACACTTGGGCTGTCTGGGGAGCCTCCTGGGCCATCTTGGGGCCCTCTTCGGGGCCTCGTGGGCCGTCTTGGAGCGATCTGAAGGGCCCCCGAGGCCGTGAGGGAGCGTTGGGAAACGGGAAAAGCGAGAACACCAAAATCCTTCAAAAACTCCCGGAACATGGATAAATGTTGCCTCCCAGGGCCCTCTTGGGGAGCCTATTGAGGCCGTCCTGGAGCGTGTTGGAGTCCTCGTCGGCCGTCTTGAGGTCATCTAGGGCGTCTTCGGGCCTCTTGGGATCGTCTTGGGCCCCTTCGGGACCCCCTAGCTTGTCGTGGCCCGTTTCGGGGCGGGCCCGGGCCGTCTCGGGAGCTCTGGGCCCCCCCAGAACCCCGAGGGGGGCGCCCATGGAGGGTGCAGGCACTGGCCCGCCCCCCCCCCTGGCCTACTCCGATATACATATATATACACACACACACACATACACATACATACATACATCCATCCGTCCATACAGACAGACAGACAGACAGAAAGACCTACCTACCTACCTACCTGCCTGCCTGCCTGCCTGCCTGCCTGCCTGCCCGCCCGCCCGCCCGCCCGCCCGCCATCCCTCCCTCCCTCCCTCCCTGCCTGCCTGCCTGCCTGCCTGCCTGCCTGCCTGCCTGCATGCATGCATGCATGCATGCATACATACATGCCTACATGCATGCATACATGCATACATGCTGCATGCATATATACATACACATACATACATACATACATACATACATACATACATACATACATACATACATACATACATGCATGCATGCATGCATGCATACATACATACATACATGCATGCATGCATGCATGCATGCATGCATACATACATACATACATACATACATACATACATACACACATACATACGTACATACATACATACATACATACATACATGCATGCATACATAGATACATACGTACATACATACATACATACATACATACATACATTCATACATACATACATGCATGCATGCATGCATGCCTGCAGACAGACAAACAGACAGATAGACAGACATACATGCATACATACATGCATGCATGCATACATACATGCATACATACAGACGCACGTGCATACATACATGCCTACCTACCTACCTACCTACCTAGACACACACACACAGAGCTATATGCATGCATGCGTGCATGCATGCATGCATGCATACATACATGCATGCATGCATGCATACATACATACGTACATACATACATACATACATACATGCGTACGTACATACGTACATACCTGTATACATACATACATGCATACATGTATACATGCATACAGACACACATAGGCTCATACATGCATACATACATGCATACATACATGCATACATATGTAAATACATACATACATACATGCATGCATACGTATATGCATAGATGCATACATGCATACAGACATGCAGTCATTCACTCATTCATACATACATGTATATATATATATATATACATACGTGCATACATACATACATACATACATACATACATACATACATACATACAACCATGTATACATAAATACATGTACATAATCATATACATATACATATACATATACATATACCTATGCATATACATATACATGTACATATACACATATCTATACCTATACATAGACATAGACATATACATATACATATACATAGTCATATACATATACGTATACATATACATATACATACATACATACATACATACATACATACATACTTACATATATGAATACATACATACATACATACATACATACATACATACATGCATGCATGCATGCATACATACATACATATATATATATATACATACATACATATACACATATGTGTGCTAAAACCGTTGCGCGCGCTTCGCGGTCGCTCAAGTTCTAGCTAGGGTCATGATCATCGTTATCATTGTCATCCTCATCCCCGCCATCTTCATCGTCATCGTCATGGTCATGGTCACCTTCACCATCACAACGATCACCAGTATCACCATTATCATCAGCATCGTCATCACCATCGCCATCATCGTCATCGTACTCTTCAGCATCATCATCCGCATCATCAACATCTTGTTGGTCGTCGTCGGCGTCGTCGGCGGCATAGTAATCGTCATCATCATCATCATCATCATCATCATCATCATCATCATCATCATCATCATCATCATCATCAGTGTCATCGGCATCATCATCCCCGGTCCACTGCAGTCCCCTTCCCCTCCTCCTCTTCACGTTCTCCCTCTTCCTCCTCCTCCTCCTTCTCCCCCGCCTCTCCAGGCCTTCCTTTGGAGTCCTCTTGGCTCGTCGTGGGGTGCTCAGCCCGTCTTGGGGCCCTCCTGGGGCCCTCTCCGACCATGTAGGAATCCTCTGGTGGCCCCCTCGGGCTTCCTGGGGGCTCTCTTGGGCAGTCTTGTAGCTTCCGTGCCGCTTGAAGCTCTCTTCGACCCATCTTGGAACCCTCTTTGGGGCCTCTGGGGCCGCCTGCGGCCCATTTTGGTAACCTCTTGGGCCGTCGCGACCGCTGGTAGAACTGAAAAGCGAAGCTCCCACTAAATATACGTTTTCCCATGGGGAAATGCTTGACTGTTGCCTTTGGACGGCCTTCTCAGCGGCCTCTTGGACAGGCCTTTTGTGGCCCGTCTGGGAGCCCATTTCGGCTGTCCCAAGCCCCTCTTGGCATGTCAATGGTAGCTGAGCCGTCTTGGGGCCCTCGGGGGGCCCTCTCCGACCATGTAGGAATCCTCCGGTGGCTCCCTCGGGCCCCCTGGGGACTCTCTCGGGCTGTTTTGGAGCTCTCTTGTGCTGCTCGACGCTCTCTTGGGGCTGTCTTGGAGCCCTCTTGGGGGCCTCGTGGACCGTGTGGCGCCGATTTGGGGAGCCTTTGGGACCGACGTGGCCGCCGATGGAACACAAGAAACTAAAATCGTAGAAACGTACGTTTTTGCATGGGATTGCACCCGGGAGCCTTCGCAGCGGCCTCCTGGACCGTCTTCAAAGAGTCCTGGTAGGCCTTTCTTGGATCCT